GTAGTGTTGAAAATGTAACATGGCCTCCTACCCTGATTTCATGACATACTAGACTTGGCCACAAATGTAGGTACTCTGAAAATAAACCTGTCAAGTGGCCATGTGTGTTGATACACAGAGTGAATGGTCCTCCACAACGTTGGAATTATACCAGCCCCAGCACTCTTTCAATATCAAGTCTTTACATACCCTTTACCATTAACCTGGCCATATGTCTTACCTGTAACAACCTACCCCACCTGTGATCTGTAGGCAATCCATATCACCAGGTAACATACTCATCTAAGGACAGGCAAGTCAACATGGGGAAATACATCCGATGTTGTTTTTAGTTAATGTTGCTGGTCGAACTCACCAGAGTAATTTCCCCTGGAGATTTTCAGAAATCTTTTTATCCTGTTAACTGATGATTTTATTGAGAGAGGTTGGATTGTTGCAGCTTGCCTTGGTTTTATATGCCTTCTGTGTATTCCAGCAACATTGTCATGTTAATGTGAAGGCAGATTTATCTTAAGAACAAGTCAGGCAATGTTCCCAGGCAACAATAGGCCTGGGGAAAATGAGCTAATAATTCAATCACAGCAGCAAGTGTATGATAATTGTGTATTGCATCATTGTGTAATCTATAGATCCCACTTTAATAGATACTCATTTTTAATGAATTATCCATGATCAGAAGTTATGAATCAATAGTCAATTGTTTGAAATTCCAGAAGTTGACATGGAGTGTGGCATGTCAGGGAGCTTGAAGTGAAGGTCGATCTACACGCTTCTAGTTAGTATTACATGAACTCTCCTCTCAGGTTTCAAAACAAGCTTACAAATCCTTCCTGCACTCGAGCAGGTGAGCTGCAGTTGTAGTTTTTCCCAGGGTAACTGTGTGATGTGTGACGCAGTTGGGATTGGGATTCCTCAATTCTCAGCTCCCTGTCTCTGTTTAGTTTTAATTATTGTGTCATGAAAGAGACTCTAGGTTTCAATAGATGTTTCGTTTAGACAATTTGCCAAAGGTTGAGTCCATACCAGATATTTTAACCTTTAATTCATGTCTTATTCATTTGAATTATGGAACCTGAGTTGAAAATCTGTCTTGATTTCTTCCTTTAAGTGTTTCTTTGGGACTGTAGTGCAGAGAGAATGTCATCTTTTCTTTGATGATAATAACTTTCATTCCACTGGTAGAAATCATGCCTTTGAAATGCGCTTGAACAATAGAAGCATCTTTTCCCAATAAAAAACAGAATTAATCTTCATTCAGTCACATATGTCAAAACATCATCTCTTTCAAAACTCGTGAATCTTGCTTGAATTCGATATTAAAAAATCTTCAAAAGTCGGGTTGCTTCATCTGCCCTGAGCGCATGCAGGGTTAGGTAATTGAAATGTTGCGGAGGTTTATAAGCTTGTTGGCTTTCCACTTGAGCTTGCTTGTAAATGATTGCACCCAAGTCAACATCCACGTTTGGACTTCAAGTGAAGCACCACCAGTCAACCTCAAATTATCCCTTATGCAGGAAACATGGCGTGTTTGAGGATCATCCTCGCACCATTTTGCAGCAACAGTTAGAAAATAGACCAATATTTTGAAAAGCAAACCACATTGCCCTGTTGAATGAATCCTCAGGTCAAGTTCCGATGCCGACTCCTTCATCAAGAGACCTTTGTGATCGGAGCTTGCTCCAACAAATTTCAATATTTTTATTATTGAATTTACTTTGCACTGACAGGACTTTACCATCCCCTTAGGGTAGAGAGTAATCAGATCAAAGCTGCTCATAGCTTTCCTATAGGGAAAAGAATTGTAAATCCCTATATTGATGTCTGCTGGTCCAAAATTTCATCTACTTTATTGTTTAAAATTACAAATTACAAACCATTACTCCACAAGTTCACCACTCTTATAAATTGTAATTTACTTCCACTACCCCGCCCTTAGTCCTGCACCATGACTGTTGAATGATTTATTTTTCCATAAAATAAATATAATCTAGAAACGCATACAAAAGCAAGTCTAGCCAGCTCTAGCTAGCTCTATTCCACATCAGCATAGGGAAGATTTTTATTTTATTTTTAGAGTCAAGAAGGATATTGTGTAATATAAGATTTCAGAGACTAAATGTTAGTCTACCCTGCCCTGTGCCACTGAACCAACAAAATACGAAGATTATCATCAACCCTTCTCTGCCAGTAACACACTGCGGCTCCACCCCAACAAAAACGACAAAGCCCATTTCAAAACAGTAGATCACCCCTACCACTGGAGTAATAAATAGTCTCAGAAATGAAAATATTATAAGTACAACAATGGTTAAGTTGTCTTTTTTTATTACTTATCGCTCCAGACCAATACGACTGTTATCTAATGGTGATGCTTGCTGCAAAACTCGAAATTATTTTCATAGAAATTAGAATAGGTTTGACAAAGGATTATAACACTTGTCTATAAAATAAAAAGGCTCAATGAAAATGTCTTCAGTTTTCCGAATCTGAAACAGTCTAGACTTGCCATACGATTCATTGACATGCAAGGGATATATCAATAGTCTGTTACCGGCTCTGTATATCAGACTACCCTATTCAACCAGCTAGCTCTATCTTCACCCTCACTGCCACGTACGTGATCACATCTCCGCGTTCACTCAGCACCCCATTCTTACTTAGCTTCCCACTGGTGGAGTTCAAGTGACATCATTACCCAGGAAACCCCACACTGGTCATAATTGGGACATTAACGGCTCTAATTGCTTTTGTCCAAGCAGTCTGTTGCTCTACGAATATGGATTAAGTGAAAAATGTAATAAGGTATCTGAACATTTTCTAACTTGACGCATCAATATTTGATTTTCTTCACATTCAGATGCACATAACAATGATAATGAGCTTCTTGAAGACATGGGATTCCTCCAAACTTGTGCACAATGTCCCGTGGAGTATTGAGTATTATTCACGCTCACAGTGTTATCAGCAAGTAATGAACAGGCAGATATTCAGTTAATGAAAACTTCTTTGCAAGCAATTAGCACTGCCATGATTATTGTAAAATTTAAGGTTTTGGTGCTTAAATAGAATTACGTGGTTTACCAGAAATGAGGAGATCCATCAGATAATTGGAAACGCAAATTTTGATTGATGCATTATTCATAATAATTACCATAAAAACAAAACCAAGATTACAAGATGAAAAAGAATGGCCATCTTTGAAATGAAAGAACATTTTCTTGCATTTTTGTTCTCAAATCATGATTAATCTAAAGCCAATATTGAAGTGCTCCTCTGGTAGATTGCAATCTGCTGTTTACCTATGGCAGTGTTAAGTGATAGGGAAAAGGAAGCCAGCAAGCTGTTATCTGAGGGAATCTGATCCTTGGTGTTACCTCATGCTTGCCTCTTACTATATTCCTGAACCCATCTACCTGACATCTCTCCAGATGGTTCCTCCAGGAGCTGTGTTGCTATGGCGATGAGGTATAGCCTTGTAATCAAATTGATCCAATTATGATACTAGGGATATTTCAATTCAAAAGGTGACTAACTTAGTTGACATAATGAAATTAATGGATTTTCATTATAGATAGACGGGTATGTCAAATTGGTTGCAGACCTTTATGTATGTTATCATCTCTTTATGAAGAAAGGATGAGGTGAGGTGAAATGGGATTTAATGTCACGTTGAAGATTATTGCACTTATTGTTGTGTATATAATGTAACAAGTTTTGCAAATATGGGATGTTCTTCGCAATGAATATCTTATCTTATGGCATTTGTACGAGTCCATACTAAAGCCTGTTTTTGTGCCACCAGCTTATATACCATGCCACAGTTTAACATGGATACTCCACTCAGACACAGTATGCTGACTCCGAGCTGACTAGTCCTTGTTTTAGCCCCTTAATGCCAACTGCAAGGCAGGATAACGAGAATAATCCTTTTATGTCTTTTGGTATGATGCTTCCGGGGATCGAACTTGGACCTTCCGTTCTCCAGACAGATCTTATAAGATTAAGGTACAATGGTGATCAGTATGATGTGTCAATAACAAAAACAAAAAGGTTTCTGCTCCAAGTGAATGATTCACATTCATGAGCTTGCTAGTTTGGATTGTAAGTAAACAGAAGTCAGCATATATTTTAGGTCAATTTTTGCACATGTTTTTGAAGTGTCAAAAGTGTGTCCCAGTATTTAGGCTGGTTGAATGTGAAACCTCCCCTCTGTTGAAGGCGCGTGGCAGGCCAGTCAACATGAAATTTGACACCATCCCTGTACTATCAATCATCCACACTCTGCAAAACATAATGTAACACAATGCTGTCTCAAATTATTTCAATATGCCTGGCACACACGATCTGTGACTTTTTCCTCTGTCCCAGAAGAAGCCAATGAACCCGTCCAAGAAGCATTGATACCATCTCGGGTTTACACTTCATTGCCCAATGACAGACCTTCTAACTTTTAGCTTCATTCGGTGGGCGTTAATACGCCCAGTTTCAGAGAAAAATATTGTTGTTTTGCAGTTTTTGCATGCACAGATGGTTTGAAGTTGAAAGTCGTGCATTTTATTTTTACTTGCACGAGCAGTGTGTTCGCGGTGAGCGGTGTGAGCATGTGAGTCATGGTGTATATTTAGTATGGAGGTGCTCATTTTCAGGGGTTCCTGTACACCAGTGTATCTTGTGGAGAGACACACAGCACAGCACCCTTGTCATGAAGTCTGTTTCAGCAGGCGTCTCATGCTCACTCTTCTCAGTGTGTTTGACACAGCCATTTATGTAGGTTGACACTGAAACCTTGACGTCATATACTTCATGTTAAGCTCTGGTTGCAAACGGAATTTGGACTCTCAAAAGTGTGTTATGTTGTGTCAATTTGACATATTGCTGGCATGTTTGTCAAAGAACTTTCCATCAGATGGGAAATTGCGCTGTAATATTTCTGTTCCAGGAATGAATTTCTGTTGATGTTTCTTAAGCATGAATTTATATTCTGATCTTTATTCTTGCAGCGTTGGCGGGTCAAAAGTTGGAGACCGAAAGCAGTCCGTGGGATCTCCACTTGAGTCACCGCGGAGTTCCAAACTTGTCAATCAGGGGAGTATCAGCTGTAGCCGAATCCAAAGACAACGTTCCTTTAAGAGTTCTAACGATGACGTGATCAAGCGTTCTCGGACTCAGTCCGTGTCGTATGAACTGTCTCAGGACCTGCATGACAAGCAGGTTGAAATGCTAGAGCGAAAATACGGAGGTTCCATCAGATCCCGTCGAGCAGCCAAGACAATTCAGAGAGCTTTCAGACAGTATTGCATGACCAAGAACTTCCAGAAACTGAGACATTCTGTTGGAGAACGAAGACTATCAAAGCGTTTGTCTGAACTAGGACGCAGCAACACAATCTGGACCGATCGTTTCATCACCGATGGGAAGTTTGAAGCTTCAGATGTAATTTCTGAGAGTTCTTTTGGAAGTGATGTCAGAAAGATGGTTGCAGAATTTGAATCTGGACGTGACCACAAACTTTATCACCAAATGTCATTTGACCATGGAGTCAAAGTGGATTCTCAAAAGGCACGGTTTGGTAGACGTGGAAAGAAATTGGAAAGATCAGTTGAGATAGATATAACGGACATTCCATGTGAGAAGGAGAAGAAAGGCAAGCCAGGGGCGGCCCTAATCGAAGAAACAAATAACAATCGTAATTCCTACCCGGAAATGAATGACAGTAGTGCCAGTGACTCTCCACAACCGACACCTTTAGAAAGTGCTGTAGATCCTCATAGCTTGGACTTCGAGACCTTACTGGAAAGCAAAGAGACTGACATTCTCACAGATAGTTTTCATAGTGATAGTATACATAGTGAAAGTAGCCAGGAGGCGAGCACACTGACGTTAAGTCATCGCCCATCCGCATCATCGCTTGGCTCTGACTTCAGTGTCAATACAACTGCTGATAGTGCTCGAGGTTCATCAGCATCGTTTGACAGTTTCCGCAACCTGAACTCGGAGTCATGTGAAAATGTCTCAGTGGCTAGTGATGTGCAAATTAAGGTGGACTTGGCCTCTCCAGAGGACACGAGACTCATTGAACAAAATCAAACATCATCGCCAAACGATGGCGTGAAATACTACATGAACTCACAGGTGAAACTCCGATCTCGAAAACCTGGCGAGGAGAAGGTGAAGCCAGCACCCCCTGTTCGTGCCCCGGATACATCTCCGATCTGGAAAAGAAAGGGGAATGGGGGGACAGTCAATGGTAATATTGCCCCAGTGAATGCTGTAAAAGCTGAAGCGAAACGAATGAGCAATATTTCCGAAACAAGTGAACCTGATAGTATTGACGGTCAGTGCTCCAGCTCCCCAAGTTCCGAGAACATCAGTACAGAGAACATAAGTATTTCTAGTGAGAACAGCATTAGTTATCAGAGGAGACTACGGTTAAGTGTCACACCCGACCAACAGACGATGCCAAGAACCAATGACAAGCAACGCAAGAGGGCATACCGAATTGGACTCAACCTCTTCAACAAGTAAGTACCTGTTACATATTGGGGAGCAGTTGCCTCATCCACAAAAAAGATCTTAGCCCTTCAGCTATCTTAACTCCACGTATGCTCCAATAGTTGTGTCACTGAAATGAGGGACATATACCGTTCCTTTAACCAGGGCCCTGTGAAGATCCGGGTTAGAATGGTCTTTGGCAACTCATGCTTGTCGTAAAACTCGCTGGCATGGTTGATGCATGTCCTCGTATCCCAATTGCGTAGATCGATGCTCATGATGTCGATCACTGGATTGTCTGGTCAGGACTCGATTATTTACAGGCTGATGTCATACAGCTGAAATATTGCTGAGTAAAGTGTTAAGAACATACATACATACATACATACATACATACATACATACATACATACATCCGTGCTCTGTTTCATAGTCTGATCTTAGCATTATTAGGACTAAATGTGTTGGTATTACACTAGTCTTTTTGCCGAGATGGTTTTATGGGACAACCCAGGATGCCTTCAAATAAGGTGATCCATGAAGATCCGCAGTAGAATAGGTCTTCAGCAACCCATGCTTGTCGTAAGAGGCGACTAACGGGATCAGGTGGTCAGGCTCACTGACTTGGTTGATGCATGTCATCGTATCCCAACTGCGTGGATTGATGCTTGTGATGTCGATCAATGGATTGTCTGGTCCAGACTCGATTATTTACAGATCGCAGCATATAGCTGGACTATTGCTACGTGCAGCGTTAAAAAAAAATAATCAAAAATCAAAATAAGGCTAAGGAGTTCATGCTTCAAAGCTAGGGAGTATTTTAAACATGGAATAGAATCTGCTTTTGGCAGAGATTTCTTAAGAATATTGAAAGGGTTTTGTCATTTATTTTTTCATATCGTAGTGTAGATGTTGGAAGTGGGAACATACTCTGTTTCTAATCTACTTGCTGTTCCTTGAAGACGATGCAGTACCTGAACAGCTCAACACTCATCAATATTCCATGGAGGAATGTCCTACTGTGTTTGCTCTACATGCAAGATTTATTTGTACCTCCCCAAATCAATATAGTTAGTCACCCTGTATGACGATTCATTCACAAAGTTATGAGCTTAAGCTGCACAAATCTGTTTGATGAAGTGAATGGCTGTTTGTCCGAGTCTCTTTATCAGAATAATTTAGCTTGGTAAAAAAGCAAAACAAGGAAACTTATGGCCTTCTTCTGAATCATGTTTGTTATGGTTATCGCTTTATAGTTCCTTTGAAATCCAAGTCCGACTGTCCATGGAAATAGCATCAGTGCCATGTACAGGCAGACAGTGGAAGGGGACCCTGATTTCAATCACAACAACAACAATGTAAAGAGAAGCATGGATATCTTTACATTTTCATTTTCAAAAAAATCTTGCAAAGAGAAAAAATTATAATCATCTGACAAGTCGGATGTGTCATACCTTTGACCTCGTCTTACTCTTTGCATGTTTTTTTTTCAATCCTTGGATACGACCAGTGTATGTTCCATTCATTTATACCAGCAGCTAAGAAACTAGCTATAGAGGAAGATTGTGCATGATTTTTTCTAACCTAGTAACCTAGTATGATTTATAGGAGTGAGTGAGTTGGGTTTAATGCCGCTTTTAACAGTATTCCAGTTATATCACGGCATGTCAGCTTAATGTGGGAGGAAAGCCCGAAGTGATACAGGTCTCAGACGTTTACCACTTCAGTGAAACCCACGAGCACGGGTATGGTGCTGACAAACCTTGAAACATAATCGGGGCGAACCGGGAATCGAACCCACAATCATAGGTTTCTGGCATGTCCAAGGGACGCAACTCTTCAGTGCGAATCGCTGCCCCCTGATTAATAGGAAGCAGCCTTGAAACTAACAGTTTTAGCCCACTAGCCCTTATAATGATAACATAAAGCAAAACAGTTAAGGGCAAATTTCTACTAGTCCTTATGATACTAAGTTATTGGACAATTTGGCAAGGACTAGTGCCAATTTCAAACACTGGGAAGATGTCTACAAAAAGTCTTACATCCCTACTGGGTTATTTTGAGATTAAGGATTTTCAGTGTTCTAAATTAATTTGTCATTGCCTATTATAAGGATCAAGGTCCAAGATTAAAGCAGTGCAAATACTACAGCAGCAAGCTCCTAAACCCCACAATTCTAACAATGGTTATAAAAGAGCTCTTTCGATTTTGGGACAAGCTAGGATGTAGATAAGACATATTTGTGAGAAAGTGACATGGGCCTTTAAATGAGTTGGTTAAAAAACAAATGAGCACCCAAATGACAGAGTTTCCTGCAGAACGCCATGCATCACTCATAACATGACAGATGTAAGACTCCGAGTGTGGAACAAACATGTTTCCCCTTATCTGTTGGCAGCAATCAGCCATCTTGTTTTCTGGGCTCATCGTCAGTGTTTCAGTTGTGTCATGTCTGGTAGTGACACAGCATCTTTCAATACCTTGGTGTTGTTTATTACTGGCTCTCACTGGCCCCGTCAGTAATGATCACCTCGTACATGTTTCCTGGTTTGCTAGAAAATGGAGCAAATTATCTCGTTTGAGACGCCATCATTCTTGATCAAAGGGAAAATGTGCTCCCAAAATTTGTTGTATTCTTTCACTGTCATTCACTTCAATAACTCAATCAGTCTCATTTAGGGCCCACGTTAAGATGTTATTTTATGAAAAGGTTTTGTTCTACTTAAATGGATTTTTAGAACATCTGAGAGTTTCAAATAGACATCATGTGTGGCTGGTTGGCAAGATATTTAAGTAAGTACTACAGCTCTTACAGAATGGCCTAGTAATTACCAAACAAGCAGCAATATGGCTTCTGCCATTCAGTTCCTGTTTTGCTCAAATCTGTCAAGATTCATTTATTTTTGTTGGCCTCAGCTGTAAACCCACAGGTCAAAACTTTTTTGCTTTTTGCATCTGCGAAACTGAATGCATTAGGCAGGTGAGGCCAGGTTTAGGTTGGGTAATATTAAACAAATCTCCAACCATAATCTGCATGGTTCATTTCTTTAATTATTTCATCCGTCATCTGGGAAATTATTTAAAGCACACAGATCATCAATGTCTGTGATTGTCTTTTACAAAATATTGAGAAACATATTCTTGAAACCTTAATGAGGCCTCTTAAATTCACCATATGTGTATGGTTAGCCTCAGCTATTACATTTGCTTTTTAAGATTTAGGCTAAGTGTATGTTCTAAATAGGATATGCATGTTGGAAAAGAACTTTCAGATCAATATATTATTAATGGATGGATATGGGATATGTTTACTGGAAAAGATTTGATTTCCTTTTCGGTGAAGACAAAGAACACAGTGTTTTCGTAAAAACAATTGAAAAACACAGGCATGCAGATCTCACTGTACACTATCATTTCATGAGGCAGATTATGTTTCACATGTTATCACTTCAGGATAAACAAAGAAATGCTGTTTTTTGTGTTGAAAATAAGGTTGAAAAGGGGAGATTGAACTAAAACATATTGCAAATGAATATGTGTTTATCAGATGCGGAAAGATTTGAAATGGTTCTTAATCATGTCACGAGGGACAGTCACTTAACGGTAACACCTCGTCACCATCTCTCGATAATATCGCAGCTTCCGGGGATAACATTATAAAACACACAGACTGAGACAATATGGTCTGTCTGTTAGACACCCACAGCTCACAGGCATTAGAACTGGCAGTCATATATTTATCAATTTTTTGGGAGATTTTCTGCTTGGTTGGTCGCACACTAAGAGTGTTCAAGCCAGCGTCAGTGAGGCGGCAGTAGCAGATGAAAGATAGCAGACAAGCGTGTTAGCGATTTTGTAACTGTAACATCAAGAGATTTCCTTTGAACAATGAAGGCAGTTAGCTTTTGCCAAGGCTTTGCTCAGAGTTTATTGTTGGGCCTGGGAGGTTTGCATGGTTTTAGGTTTAATCTGGACATGAGAATTTTGTGTGATTAAACTTTTAAAAAGTATTGAGCACAAGTAGCTGAGTAATAGATTATTGTTTTTCACTGCAGTCAGAATTAATCAAGCTGTATGACAGTGGCCAATATCGAGAGTGGAATATTTTTTTTAAAAAGACAGAAAAAATATACTCTTATTGAAACAGTTTTAATTGAAATGTCTGAAACAAATTCTCCATTTGGAGAAGGTTTGATAGGGCAAATAAATCATGGACTATAATTAACACAGTATCATAGTAAACATAGGTATCGTTCTTTATTCTGGGTTTCAACAGCAGTTGTAAGTTAGTCAGTTACAAGAACATAAGTGAGTATGAATCTATTTAGACACTCAGATGTAGTAGAAATCTCCCAATCTCAAAAAATCAGTTGGGCATGTTTATGATCCTGTCGGTAATGTTCCTGTATAGTGTGGGGGGCACGGGTGGCCCAGTCGTCTAAGGCGCTGCGATTCGCTGTGCAGAGTTGCGTCACTTGGGCACGCCAGAAACCTATGATTGTGGGTTCGAATCTTGGTTCACCCCAATTATGTTTCTAGATTTGTCAGCACCATACCCGTGCTCGTGGGTTTCACCGAAGTGGTAAACATTTGAGACCTGCATCACTTCGGGCTTACCTCCCACATTAAGCTGACATGCATGATATAACTGGAATAATGTTAAAAGCAGCGTTAAACCCAACTCACTCACTCACTCATGTAAAATGTGTGTGTCATGCTTGTGGTTGTGTGTTTTACAATGAGCCGCCACCCTTTGGACTTTTCTCTGACAAGAGTTAAACCCAACTTACTCTCACTCACCCCAAATGTGTCTGAACCTGAAACAGACTGAATGACTGTTTCTGTGTTTGTCCATATTGCTCCAATGCCTGGTTTTAGGGGTCCTCAGACTGTGAGTCTGGAGGGTTTGTTTTACTGATGGGTTATGATGTTGCCGTATTGTTTCAGGAAACCGGACAAAGGGTTGAACTTCCTACTAGACCATGGATTTTTAGAAGGCTCCCCACGAAGTGTGGCAAAGTTCTTCATCCTACGGAAAGGTCTAAGCAAACAAATGATAGGAGAATACCTGGGCAACTTGCAACAACAATTCAACATGGAGGTCCTACAGTGAGTATTGTTCATGTATTATCCGAAAAGAGCAAAACATGTTTGGTACCCTCTGCCAAGACGGCTTTTATAGATGCCTTTGAGCAAAGGTGGCCTATGGTCAAAGGAATTGCACTGTGCTGTGCAGAGATGCATCGCTTGGAGGTACCTGTATCTGCTCATCATGAGTACGAATCCCAGATTGGCAGTGGGTTAATGCAGCACTTAATATTCCAGCTTCCTGGTTCGATCTGATGATGCAATCATAATGTTTTGGGGGGCACGGGTGGCCCAGTCGTCTAAGGCGCCGTGATTGGCTGTGCAGAGTTGCGTCCCTTGGGCACGCCAGAAACCTATGATTGTGGGTTCGAATCCTGGTTCGCCCCGATTATGTTTCTAGGTTTGTCAGCACCATACCGGTGCTCGTGGGTTTCACGAAGTGGTAAACGTCTGAGACCTGCATCACTTCGGGCTTTCCTCCCACATTAAGCTGACATGCCGCGATATAACTGGAATACTGTTAAAAGCAGCGTTAAACCCAACTCACTCACTCACTCACTCATAATGTTTTATTCTGAGGTATATAGACTAAAGTAATTCTGAACATGTGACTGCAGCAGAGACTGTTTCAAATGATCTGAGTAACAATTATACAGGGGGCATCAGTGACAAGCTACATGTGGTTCCAAAGTGTCCTTTGCATGTGAGAAGGCGATAAAATAATAACGATCATTTAATGACTGATCGAGTTCAGCAAAGATGACAAATACTTCATGATGCCAGTCTCAAGTATCCACAAGTTGTCTTGTAGCTGTAATTATCCCAAGGGCTGGTTCCAGGGCATTTGTCACTTCTTGGCCACCTAGTGGGACTCATGCCATTGGTGAGAAGACTGCCTCGTACTTGTGCGTGGATTTATCCAGTTAGGCCTTTTTTGCCTTGTCCATTTTGAATTGATCAATATTTTAGAAGTTATGGCATCAAGCCTTCTAAAGTATCACATTAGGAAATCCAGCCATTAGTCCACCAAGACCCCTATTCTTCACTTTGGGGATCAGCACAAAGTGTTATTGGAATTGCTCTTGCAAATTTTCCTTAAGGTCTTTGACTACATCTTTTTATTTTGGGCAAATTAATGATAAAGTCGTGCTGGGCTTTAAGACCACGGAGAAGTGGGTAAAGATGCTAAGCTGGCGTGGGGGATCCCAAGAAACCATGGAGGCGCACGACAGACGCCATCAATAGTGCTAATGATAAAATAGGACCATGATGGCTCACTCTCTCAAAATCACTCCAGAGTCAAAATAATTCACTCGGAGTTTGCATGTCTCTTAAAAATGGTTGATAATTGCAATGCAAGATGCCATGAAATATTCACAAGGACCCTTGACCAGACAATGTCCATTCCAATGTTGACTGTTGGGAGGTGAACAAAAGCTCCCGGGATGATTTGGGTGATCTGTCGTGGATGTGCGGATGCATGCAGAGAACAGATGGCATCATCTCAGGAGACAAGAGGGCAACACCCTTACTCTCACCCCCTAAATCAGTGGAGGAATTTCACTTGATGATAATTGTTCTCCCATTCCTTCAAGTCCTGGATCAATGACCGAGCACAAGATTATATCTAAATGCTTGTTTCAATGGTCATTGTTTGAGAACAGATGGTGCTGGCTGTTTAAAGATTAATATTTCATATTTGGGGCGTCATGATTAGGAATAATAACCTGTTAGTGGGAGATGATAGGGTGGAGTAGCCATTCTTGAACATGGATCATTGGCTCAGTCACTCCAAGCACATGTCGCTCATCTTTCAAAAATGACTCAACAGTCTAACAATTTTTAAAATATCGGTCAGATTCTTTGTAATTTCATTTTAAATCTATAAGGGTTAGTGAGTATTGTTTTACGACTCTTTTAGAAATATTCCAGCAATATTACAACAGGGGACACCAGATATTGGCTTCACACATTGTACCAATGTCGGGAATCGAACCCAGGTCTTTGGTGTGATGAGCGAACGCTTTAACCACTAGGCTACCCAACCACCCCTTTTAATCTATTAAATATAATCGAGAAAAAAACATAACAAATCATAAGAAAACTCTGCTAAAGAGTCCATTGTACTGACTGTATCATAAACATCTGTTTACGAATCACCAACAACAAAAAAATGGCGAGCATATCCTGCCCTGCATTTAAACCTTCTCTTTACATATCCTGATCATGACATTCTTGATGGATTTTTGCAATGTAAAAATCTCAGTCAACATGTCATGTTGATGAGTGTTTTGTAAAGTTCAGCATTGTTTGGCCCCGAGAGTGTATTCTGGAACAGTACATACTGCTGAAACCAGGCCACATTCTCCAAGAGCCAGGGAGGGGTTGTTATGTGGTTGTTATGTGGTTGTAAGTAAGGGGTTGGCTTGTCCTGGTCCTGCACAGCTTGCACACATTTTCCTTCACACTTGAATGTCGCTGCATGCAAATACTACACTTGTAGAGTGACAGCTTGTTCGTCTTGCATTAGAGAACGACCTTTCCCTCACTGAATTTAGCCTGTAGTGGGAACACAGCCTCTGAATGTGACATTAGTTCGTGTTCAGGGTCATCTCGTTCATATTGATTTACTCCCCATATTTTGATTATTCTGAAAAAAACCTTGTTCTGTTGTTATATGGAGACCCACCTATTTTATTGATTGTTCTGGGGGCAAGAAAGGCCCAGTTGTCTATGGTGGCGGAATTTGCTGTGCAGAGTTGCGTTCCTTGGGCATGTCAGAAAATTATGATGATTATGATCATGGGTTGAATCCCGGTTCACCACGATTATGTTTCTTGGTTTGTCAGCATCATACCCGTGTTTTGGCCAAAACGGTAAATGTCTGAGACCTGCATCACTTACTGCTTTCCTCCCACATTAAGCTGACATGCAGCGATATAACTTGAATACTGTTCAAAGCGGCGATAAACCCAACACACTCACTCACAACAAGGCTATGCTTCATGTCCTTTTGAATAGGCTACATGTGCTGCCTCCTTTAGTGAGTGAGTGACTCTTCGAATTATTTCTCTGTCAAACACGGCTTTGTAAACCTTTGAATGTCTCATAACACACACATCGATTCCATGTGGGATGAATTCAGGTCTACTTTGACCTGAATATGAATTCATAACTTGAGAAAACACTGATAAAATCATGACAAGCTGGATTGATAGATTGGGAAGCTCGTTCCACGTGGGCGGCATTCCGAACAATATTCTTTACAAAGTGGATATTTGTTCTTGGACTATGGGCTATTGTTGAAACATGTATAAATGTGGAGGCAGTACCTACATAAACAGTCAGATACACCTACAGCCGATGTATTCATCCTGTAGGCTGAGTGGGCTGATTGTGTGGTCATTGGTAACATATGGAAAACGGAATAGCTTGACCTCATTCATCAGTGGTAATGTTATGGTATATTATGTTGACATTTGTGGCTTTTTGTATATATCTAATTGTTTTTATTGGCAAGGGTGGTCTCGTTGTCAAAGACACAAACATTCACTTTGTCCTGATCCATGACTGTGGAATATATATATTTTATGAAATCCAACCTAGATTTATATTATATAAAAGCAAGTCTAGCCTGCTCTGTGAATTCCACATTTGTCCAAATTATGATCCTTGCTTTGTCAGCACTGTACCAGACGTTTTACCAATATGGTAACTGTCTGTGACCTTACATCACTTCAAGCATTCCTCCTACATTAGACCCGTGAAGATCCAGGGTAGAATAGGTCTTCAGCAACCCATGCTTGCCGTAAAAGGTGACTGTGCTTGTCGAAAAAGGCAACTAACAGGATGCATGTCATCGGTCCCAATTGAGTGGATCGATGCTCATGAGGTCAATCACTGGATTGTCTTATTCACAGACAGCCACCATATAGCTGTAATATTGCCGAGTGCGACGTTAAACAACAAACAAAGAAGCAAATCCTACATTAATTTAGACTGCCTCTGCCTGATTTGAGTTGATATGCTGTGATATACTGTTAACTGAAATATTTCAAAAAGAGGTACCCAATCCCACCCACTCATTCACTTCTTGGACTTGTAGGAATCTTGCACATGTCATTTGCAGCTATTTCAGATGAATATAGAAACCTTCAAATATTCCGAGTGCAAAAACTGATGTCATAACCACAAGGCACTTAAACACAGAACTCTTTACTTTACAACCGCTTGGTAGAAATGGCTTGTGTATTTGCCAGCAGCATGGGGGAGTAGTGGGTCCGGAACATGGTCAGTCAACATGGACCAGGTGTGAATGTATCTAGCAGGCCATGAAGCGCAAGCTATCACAGCACCGACACAAGACCTCAACCAGCCCCAAAACACATCACCCCTATGTGGTCTTGTGCACCTACATGGACTCCCTTCTCCGGCTTTGTTTGTGTTCGTGCGTGGGCCATTTTGTGCCCTATTCTTCATGACGATAGTTGTCAGGTGTTGGCCTGGAGGAACATTTTGGTCATGTGCAGCCTGGTAAAGGCCACGATGGAGGATGGTTGAAGAATGTAGCAAGATGGTGCAAGACAGGAACATCTACAAATCTTAATTAGCCGAGTTTGGAATCCATTGTTAATTTCATTGTTAGTGCAGGTCTGATGTTCTTGTATCAGGATTGTTCTGGTAATTTAATATTTTAGTTGGAGGCACGGGTGGCCCAGTCGTCTAAGGCGCCGCGATTTGCTGTGCAGAGTTGCATCACTTGGGCACGCCAGAAACCTATGATTGTGGGTTCGAATCCCGGTTCGCCCCAATTATGTTTCTAGGTTTGTCAGCACCATACCCGTGCTCGTGGGTTTCACCGAAGTGGTAAACGTCTGAGACCTGCATCACTTCGGGCTTTCCTCCCACATTAAGCTGACATGCCGTGATATAACTGGAATAATGTTAAAAGCAGCGTTAAACCCAACTCACTCACTCACTAATATTTTAGTTTGTGCAACAACAACAGTACTCGATCACTA